TATATATATATATATATATATATATATATATATATATATATATATATATATATATATATATATATATATATATATACCGACTTTTAACAGATATGACATCTATATCAACACTTATATCTGTACATCCAATATACATCCAATATACAAAATTTTGGCCCGGAATACATCGAATAAAATATGTTCACACACATGCTATTATACAAATTTATCTTTTACAATACAAAATACAAAGCACCAATTAAGTTAATTAATCGATTGAAGTCCAGTCATGGCGTATAATGTCTGCATAGTAGCGTTTTAGACAATTGGTGACTCTCGTCGATGCAACGAAAGCACCCGTTATAATCGAATCCTCGCGCGACGTAAGGAGCCGATTGTCGCCACTTGGTGACTTTTTTGATGCGGATATCTAATCCGAGTACATAAATACTCAAGGACAAGGTTGAGCGCCAGCCGTTGGTGTCGATTGGATCCCTTAAGGACGAGAGTCGCGCGAGATCGGCGACGCCAGCGACGATGACGATGACGACGACGACGAACCCGGCTCCGAAAGGTCAACGGATGATTAAGAGGGAGCGAGTCGACTCGACGATCGAGGTAATCGATCGGATAATAAATAGCGCATCGCGACAAACGCATATCTCCGTTTATCAAAGCGCGACGTCCGTCTCTCTCTAGTAGCTATTACACGCGCGACTATTTTCGCATAACGATTAATTGTGTAATCGATCTACGACTGTGTAAGGACAAGGTCGCGGACGCATCGGCGGTGTCGATCAGGCCATTGTACAAGATCGAAGATCGCCCGAGATCGAAGCAGCCAGATACGGCGAACAGGATCCCCCGAGCTACGAAGGAACGGACTCGCGCCGAGGACACGGTCGAGGTAATCGATCGATCGATATCAGCTCCTCCCGAACGTTAATCTGCGTCAGATATCGCGACGTTAGGACAATGAGAAAAGCCAATCGCATCGTCAGCCGATCCCGATAAGACTATCGTACACTTTTACTGATACTTGTGCAAATCGCACAGAGGATGGAGACCTTCCGAAATATTGTGAAAACGTAATAGGACTTTTGTTTAATGGATAGTTGACGCGTTAAACGTCGGCTAATCGTACGTTTCTGCTAGGTACACGGAGAAAAATTGTAGTAAAAGTCACTCACAAGCTGAGTATATTAAAAAAAAATATATATATATTTTTTTTTAATCTACTTAACTTGTGAGTGACTTTTACTATCGTTTTTCTATCGTTTTTTTCAGTTTCTATAAATTTCCATATTAAAACCACCATGATGCATTTCTCAAAAAGTCAGATGGCAAACGACACTAGACATGATCACCTAAAATTTGAGCCCCGGTTGACCTCAATCGATCCATACAAATTTTGGGTAGAGAGGATGGCCGGTTTGAGGAAGAATGTCTCATATATATATTATATACATATATATATATATATATATATATATATATATATATTTGTAGTTTATAGTTTATAAGATAGAGAGTGTCATAGATCAATTATTTATATGTACATGTATAAATATGTATTGATCAATCATTTTGCATCACCCAGAGTTATACCACGAGGAAATGAACTAACTGATGAACAAACTAAGATCCATACAGAAAAATGAATATTACCATATTTTTTTTCATAAAAAAACTGAAAGGAACAGAACAGATGCTAATCAAGATCGCTCTAATTATGTTAGTAGTGTTCATTGTGAGGAAAATCCCTCGGTTATCAGAACAAACGTACATTTGCTGTTCGATGATCATTAAGGAAATAGATCGAACAGTTACCGTTGCAAATCATTCCTCATCATTTTGACAAAGATACATTACTTGAGATACAAATCATATTTGTTCTCGTCTATTTAGGTTAAGTTAGTTATGTTTCCATTATAGAAATGTTCCCAGCAAACACAAAGTAACAGTAACGCAACTGTTAGTTATAATTTCTCACTCAGCAATGTAACTGTTACATAACACACGCGTTATATTAGATTCACATTATTGAATGAGAAATTATAATTAACAGTTATGCAATTGTTACTTGGTGTTTGTTGGGTCGCTTAGAGCAGCAAAGTGAAAGTGACAAATCATTTGTTTTTACTACAGAGTCATTTGTTGTCATATATATATCAACAAACCATTTGTCGCGGGCATTTCGTTAGATTAACGGAACTCTCAGAATGAGTTCTGTAGAATTCGACATCGTGTAACATTTCGGAGTGACACGTAACGAGAGCTTGCGAGCTTGGCGCTCAAACGAGCTCGAAGGGGTCAAGGGTTACCGTGCAGTCGCGGCGCCTCGCGTGTCGCTCATTTGCGTCCATTAAAGTCTCCAGTCGCCGCCGGCTCGGGACGATCTGATCGCGTGAAGCGCGCGATCGTCCGCGCAATTACGCACCAGTTCAGACGACGGACGATCCGAGAGTTCGTCGTCTCTCCCTTCCGGCAGTTATCGCCGATAGTTCCCTCGAAACGACTGCGGCGAGAGCCGAAAGCGCAGCGCGACGCACCTGCGACCGGTTTCAGCCGATCGCGGTTAAGTGGCTGCCGCCACTCGGTGACTTGACTCGCCGGTCAATACCGTTAGAGACCGACGTCGGCGACGCGCTTGTGCCCGCGCTGGCTGCAAGCCACAAGTCGAGAATAACGCCGGTAACGGCGTCGGGAATTACATTACATCTCGCGCATCACGTCTCTCCTGGTCTCGCCTGGTGTTACCGAAGTCTAGCCGTGCATGTCGCGATTCTCCTGACGATCGCGGGGTTGGATGGCCCGATGGGCGAGATTTCGGTCCGTCTCCTCCTCGGGAGAATTCACACCTTGACGCGAAGAACAGACAGGCAGAAGCTGATTAGAACTCGCGCTGGTAGAAAAACAGAGCTGTAGAGATTATCAACTGTTGATCACCAGCGCGAGTTTTGATTGGCTTCTTCCTTTCTGCTTTCTGCTTCTCCTCCGGAGGTGTGAGTTCTCCGAGCGACTTACGAATCGTGAAGAGGAAAGAATAGACTTCTGAGAATGACCCTCGTGTCGATATATCTCTCTTTAAGAGCTTCAAGAGCAAGCGATAAGCCGCGGGATTGCAAGATTCGTTGGCATTGCGTGATACACACGAGCGCAGTTGTGATCAAATGCAGATAACAAGAGCGTTGTTTATTTCTTTATATGTAGATTACTACGAGAACTCCGAAGGACGCGGTCGATCGAACCGTTCCGGTGGCCAAGGAGGATTTACGTAAGTTCACCACGAAATGTTTCATGTTCCTTGCAGAATTTTACGTCAATGAGATCACTGCAATTTGCCACTTTATCTATCTACTCACCTGTCCGATAATCCATCCTATGGCTTAATCTCGTGATTAAAACATTTTAGAAATGCCCCTCCTTCTCCTTCGCCATTCCTGTGAATAATACAGTTGGCACTGATATTCTACACGGAGAGAATTAATTTTATAGTAAAAATTACCATAGAATTTTGTAACCGAGAAAAGTAAATCGACATTCTGCGGCAATTGACTTTCATTTTATATGTGCTGTCTATATTTTAGGAATTGAAATGTTGCTATATGTTTTTAATTTACCGCAAGTTCCTTAGCAACATAAACCTTACTAAGAGTTTATCTGCCTGTATTACTGGAAACATAGTGAAATTGAAAAGTATTTGTATGAAAAAAGACTATAATACATTCCCTTCGTGTAGAATTCAAAATGTTTAATCTAGTTCGTCCTAAATTTTCAATCATTCCAGGTCATTCTAGATATTTTACAGTTTCTTTTTCTATAATGGGTACTGCTTAACACTGTCACAGATCCCTCAACAAAATTAATTATCTTTCACTTATTAATTTCACTTTGTAATAGTAGAAATTTTTGAATTCGTATCCTAGAGCATAATAAAGTAGATTCTATTCTATTTTATGAAACAAAAGAAATAAAAAATTGTTGCACTCATTAGATTGCTTCACTATTCTTACATTTTGTTTTATCAGTGCATTGTACTCCGGCATTTGTATTCGCACAATGGCATCTTCATAAACGCAGTTTTTCTTTCCACCTCATAGCACAACTAGAAAGCGCAAGTTTGAACCACACCGCGGCGCATCATCGGATCTCGGTGCGTCCGAAGAACCGACGACCGCCACGACGTACCACACCGACGCCGACGACTGCGGCTAACGTCGTCCTCTCCAGCTCCCCGTCGATACCGCCGACCATTGCCGAGGACACCCTAGACAGCTTGGAGCAGCAGCAGCAGCAGCAACAGCAACAGCAGCAGCAACAGCAGCAGCAGCAATCGACCAGCAACACGTCGACGCCGACGGAACCCAAGACCATCGGCGTGACCAGGAAATCGTCCAGTCGATTGTCACGCAACTCCGACATCTTCGAGGAGCTGGAGTCCAGACTGCCCAGGAAGCCGAGCGCGACCTCCTTGTCGCCAGACAGTCTGGACGCCACGACGGTGTCAAGGAGCAGCGTAGAAGCGGCCGAGGAGCAAACGACGTCGCCAACGACGACGACGACAGAGGTGGTCGTCAGGTCGGTCGTCAGGAGACCGTCCAATCGGATATCCAAAGGCTCTTCGGACGTGTTCGAAGAACTGGAAGCAAAACTGCCACGTAGCCGACGGTCGTCATCGAATCGTCTGTCCAAGTCACCGGACAGTCTGGATTCGGCGCCATGGTTCTCCAAGTCTACCGAGGGCTTCGACAAGTACGAGGAGGTAGAGTGTGAGGAATCATCGTCGAGACCGGTAGCGGCGGTCAGGAGGCTGCTGCTGCTGAACCCGATCTCCAAGTCCACCGATCGTGTCTCGAAGTCATCGGACAGCTTGGAGGCGATCGAACCTCTGGTCAGCGACGACTCGATCGAGCGCAGACGTAGCAGTTTCGAGTTTCGAGCGCGCAGGACCTCGAAGGCGATGTCCAAGTCGTCGGAGAACTTTGAGGTGCTCGAGCTGCGGGAGCAGAGCGGCTGTGCGAGCGAAGAGGTGGTGGTGATCGGTCAGGAGCTGCAGAAGCGCAGCAGCGTTTCTGACATCAATCTATCGCGAGGTAGGAGACTTTCCAAAAGCATCTCTAAGTCGTCCGAGAGCTTCGAGCGGATCGACATGAGCGAGACGAAGAATGTCGAGACGGAGGTGACGTTGGACGACGTCTCGAAGGGGTGTTGCCGACGATCTAGCAAGAGAATGTCCTCCGAGAGTTCGGACAATCTAGACGTGGAGGACAGGCTAGAGAACAGGAGGGTGCGAAGAACCAGGGTACCAAGCAGCGGTATAGTGGACGTAGTGGTAACCGGGGACGATCGTGACGGAGAGAGGCGGCCAACTCCTACCAGGAAGCCGCCGAGGCTTCAGAAATCCTCCGAGAGCTCGGAGCTTGGTAGCACGGACACCTTAGATTCGGAAAGGAGGAACAAGTCCTCGGAGAGCACTGAGACATTGGACAGTCTAGAGAAGGATTTGGAGCAGGACAGGAAGGACGAGGAGATCACGGACAGCGTGGTGGAGAGACGCGAGAAAAATGTAAGACATTTTGTTTGAGTAAAGCTAATCCTCTCTATATCCTCCGCGGACTTTGAGATAACAATACGATGAGAAAATTTAACGTAAATTGAAGATTATTCATCTAGATTCCGCGAATCGTATAAAAACTTCCAGTCAACTTGACTTCTTCGTTACTAACTTTGCGATACTAAAAAAGACTACTGGCTAAAAAATAACATGAATATGACACAACTAAAGGCGTTTTGGTTGAAGGAAACAGAATTTCTGATTATGAATCAAATTTAGTTTATGAGAATCAGGAATTCTGTTTTCTTCAACTAAAATGTGTTTAACTCTGCTATAGTCATGTTAATTAAAAAAAAAAAACATTCAATACATTCAAAAGATATCCTTGATAATATCTGAAAAGACAAATAATGAATTAAAGAACTTCCATAATTTCGTTCTTTAAATATTTGTTTTAGTATTTCTTCAAACAATAAGTAATAATGTGTTTCTAACATTCGTTTTCGTTTCTTTCAGGACTCTTGGTCCAGCAGGAATGTAGCCACGACCGACTCTGATCAGACATCGATGGCAGACGACACAGAAGACTCCAAGTCGCTCATCACAGCTGATAAGTATTACTGGCGTCAGTCCTCTGAACCTAAGGAGAACCTGGGTATACATCAGTTGCTGGCCATCACGATAGTCACCAGGATGGCTGACAACGGTAATAATCAGCGCAGTTCCGTGATTTACCCGAAGAAGAAGCAGCAGATGAGCACGTCGCAGCCGACCTCGCCGGTTGCCAAGCAAGAGGACACGAAGATGCTGTTCGACAATCTCCTGGTCGGCAAGAACGACGAGGATCTGCAGAACATGCTCAACGGAAACATATCAGAGGTGTCCACCGATACCAAGAGCTTTAAAGAGAAGCTGATTATGTTTGAGAAGCTCGGAAAATGAGCGCGGAACAATAAAACGACGATATAGGAGTCGTCCTTGATGAAATCTTCCCTTTTCAGTTCGTGGGCACGTTCCGATAACAAAACTTAAGGCAGAAAAGGCGTCGTCGGAAACGTAAAGAGATAAACGATCTCGTTTAGCGATTGATAATATACATATTGTAGAATATACACGATCAGGGTGTTCTCGCATGTTGAAGCACTCGATCGTGCAAGAGACGAACAAAGTAAAGAGGAATTAAAGAATAATTCGCGGATAACCGTTCCACGTGAAGGGCCGAGCCGGTTCGATCGTTCATCCGCGGAGCTGAAGATTCAAGACAGGAAGCGATAAGCGAGTTTAAGGAGTAGTAGTACGGATAAAAGTAGAAAATGAGGTGTGACCTCATATAGATATCGGTCTACAGACGGCTATAATTCGGAAATACCAAATGAGAGTTTGGTATTTAGATCATTTGATAAAATTATTCGCTCGCGTGTGTTAGTCGATGTAACGTCGCGTAAGTAAGTGAATAAATAAGTAGTAAGAAGGACAGAGACGCTAGTAAGAGCCGTCGCTAAATGTAGGACGCGATATATATTGGGGAATATTCAATACTAAATATATCATGGAAGGGTCGGCTCTCTCATTGGGTTCGATGATTACCACACAATATCCCACGCGTATGTCGAAAATCTAGAAATAAAGTACCGGTGAATGTATGTTACATTGTTGAACAATTTAATCCTCCCGTTATTAGATTTCAGTTATCGCACTCCATATCTGGCGACGAATCTTTTACTAGTTATCGTGTCTTCCTTACTAATTATTTATCTTTAGAGTCTTTACAAAATCTTTGAATAAATAAGTAAATGTCGTAACGCCGCGATGTACCTATACGGTTTGATTCGAGGAGAGATCGAAATAACAATTTCGAGACGTGATGATTCACGTCGATGATGATATCCGACTACGTTTCGTTGCGCATTGATTGAAAAGTGAAATATCGTTCGGGCGCCGAATTTCAGAAGAGAGAAAAAGAGAGAAAAGATCATCATTCCTGCTCATGCGGCGATATTTTGTTTTTTTCTTCCAATTCTCGTGTTTTTCCCTACACATGAAAAATTTACGCTCCGTTGTTGAGATTATGTACACGATCGCGTACGATGCGATTGTCACGGACGACGCGCGTATATATGTATATCCTCGTAGGATCTTTATCGTTACTCGAAGATAGCTGTACAGTAGTTTAGCGGACGTGTGATCCTTGCCCGTGGCACATTTACAAATACCGTGTATTATCTCATCGTGTAAATACGAAGAAGGATATGAGTGCGGAATCTTACTATGATGCAGAGAAAAAAAAATATATATATACATATATACACACATATATCACTAGTAGTAATTTGGTAAGTATAGAAGAGACACGAGAGACATAGAACTGTGTAGTTGGTTGCACGACGTTTCATACACATTTTTTCTAACGATGTCAGAAAAAGCGCTTCAAATTGTCACGGTTGCGAATCACTGCCCACGTAGTACGTTGCTTACGTAACAATCAGGCAAGAGCTGAAGTGACGACACACACAATGTAAATATTGATCCTTGTTATATTCTTATCTAATAGATAAAGTGATAATAAATATACTTGAGTTTTTCCTGAAGTTTTCCGTTGTAACTGAAATATTGAATATCTCGTTATATTGTCACCTCAACTTCCGTCATAACTGACTGCCGTGGAAGCCCGTCGGTAGTGGTATATAATGACTGCTCGGAGCGCTCCTAACTTTCTTAGAAGAGATGTATCCGAACTGTTCTGCAGCCGACTACACAACGATCGGTCTTAATGTATCAGCAAGAGATGTTAACGTTATGTTGTTTCCAAGAAACGTGCAGATGTATTTTCGATGCTCACGAGGATCCCATTTATTGTACTAGAAAGTGTATTACCAATTCGCCACCTAAAAAGTGTATTTCCAATTCGCCACCTAGTTCTATCGTCTATTCACGAAACGCGTAATGTGTAATGCAAATTACCGTACCATAATAACAAAACGGACCTATGATTCTCCGTTTGATGACGTATCATACGGGTGATATGAGCACCTGGCCTCAGCGTGTAATCGAATGCCTGCGAGAGATCGTGATCGGGAGAACGATTTATAAAAGAGAAAATGATGAAACTGTCGACGGTGTGAAACGCTAATGATTCTACCCCAAACTATTCGCCGTCTTTCTCGATTCTCCGAGACGTGAACCGCGCTACCACTACCATAGCATATCGTCTTGTAACTCGTCGAATTTCGCGGGGGGGAAGAGAGATTTTTGTAGCCTTTCAAGTGCCTTACCGAAATCAATTGAGTAGACCGAATGGAAGCACGTCGGCTGTAGGTAGGACACAGGCGGGAATGTTATCACCTTCAATCTTCTCCCTTTTAGTTGTCTAGATAATAAATGTATCGTTTCGGATTCCGAAAACGTCGCAGAGAGATCGTTTCTTAGAGAGTAAATAGAAAAAAAAACTGAATTTAATCACGTCACTGTAATATGTAATGTTATACATAATTAACAGGAAAATTCTACATACAATCACCCACCTACCCACCCACTTACACAGACAAACAGCAGACAGGCATACATGTACACACAGGATTACAGATACATACATATTTACACGCAGAACAGATTTCTCTTCCGTTGATGTAAATAAAGCTGCCATCGCAATTACGATTCGACAATAGAATTGTTTTCTCTCTTTATTGTAGATCCTCCTGACTCGTGTCGCGCCGTGTCGACTTTAAAAATTACAAAATAGCCAACTTAAGTGTATACATTGCTGGATATTAGAACGTAGTCTGTACGTGTAAGTGACTAATCGAATGCCGGAAACAGTGTGTGTGTAACTGTTGTTCCTTTCCTTTCTTCTCTGCGGTTCCAAGCTATGCACACTAAATAGTGTAAAGTATGTTTCAGCGGACCTGAGACCGGCCGTGAACATTACATCTCGATCCACTTTTAAATCACAATTGTAGAAATGCGTCGTGTACAAAAGGAGGAATGTAACAGCTAACTTAGTTACTCTTTATCTCTTTTTAACGTTGGCAATCATCTCGCGCATAACAATGACTGTATCGACTTTGCAGAATGAGATAAGGATAATTATTTCGGTTATCGCTAACGAGCTCGCTCCATTCAATACTAAGTCGACGGACTCTGCGAGGTTGCAAGGACAAGTAATTCGATTGCAACCGATTGGGATCGTTAATGAACACATGGCGGCAGAATTTCAAGCAGAGAATACTCAGATATTCCCAGTCATTGTATATTTTTCTTTTCGGCTTGAATTGCTAAAGCAGATGGTTTTATGATAGAATCAAAAAGTTTCTTTGTTCCCTTTTTTGTATAAGAATCTTGATAAATACATTATTTAAACAATATAATTTTCTAATTTCTATAACAGATATAAATCACCAGGCTTTGGCGAGATGTGCTTACGTGATCTTGTTCAGGATAAAATTTCGAAATATGACCAACTCTTAGTTGCAAAACTGGAGTTTTGTAACCTCCAAGAAATGTTACGGCCTCAAGACGACTGACAAATAACACACAACATTGCTTTATTAAGTATCGCTGCTAAAAATACCTGCTGACATGGTCAGTATCAGTAATCAGTACGACTCAAAGCGGTCATAAAATTTCCATTATCACTCATCGACGACTCGCAGTAACATTTGGAATCACGTTACCGATTACGCGACTGCGTTGCAAAGGTATGCGAGAGATCGATCCGATAAATTATATTATTAATATTATTAATATTATTAATAATATTATAATTCCTTGCAATCTCGATGCTCGTCCCGCGGCCAGCCGAGAGCCCGTAAATGCTCGACATTCACTTTGAAAGTGCGATCTTGCGCGCGCCTCTCGCATTTCACTAAACGACCGGACAACCATTTACAATTCGTCGTGTGTGTGTTGCTCGTCGGACGTTTGTTGCGCGTCGGATGTGTGTTGCATATCGTCGTGCACGTCGGCGGTCTCTATACTGTCTATTCTACACAGAGCCGGCGTGGTCAACTCCATGGCGTACTCGCAGCGGCTCGGCTCTGTCACGGATATGAGCTTATTCTCCGTTCCGCAGGATAGAGTGACGAGCGTGGAACGTGGCGGGCCGTTCCAACAAGTGAGACCTTTGTCGTACTCCATACGGGAGAATCGATTGCCGGTCGGTCCGGCAAACTTGTTGAATTGGCCGAGATTGACCTCGCTACCGCCGTGAGACTTGGACCTCTGAGTCGCTTTGTCGTACAGGCATAGTTTATAAATGTACTCCACGTCCGCGTACTCGAAGCACTCGCCGTACAGCGACGCGAACTCGTCGTCTGGCCCGTAGTTCTGGCGCAGTTTCACCTCCAGTTGACTGATTTCAGTCTGCAATTCGTTCACGGCCTTCTCGGCCTCCTGTAAGCGTTCGCGAGCACTGTTAGCCTCATTGATCAAAGCCTGCGTCTCCTCATCATATCGAGCCGAGTCTTCTGCTTCCTCCTCCACACCTGTTTCTGATTCTGCTTCCGATTCTGTTTCTTCTTCCTCTCTCTCAACATCACTTTCATCTTCCTCTCCTTCATTATCAGGAACATCTTGTGCAAAACATCCTGCCACAGCCTTGATCTCTGCAAACATAACAGGATCATATAATAATGCATATATATAATAAATATAATGCATATATATTATTATTATATATTATATATAAATATTACTATATTCAGTATATATTATTATTATTACACCAAGTGAGTCAGTAACTATTGCCATCTAAAATATCTTCAAAGCAAGAAACAAAGTTGATCAAAGTTTCTCAGAAAAAAACATCATTAACATAACATTCTATTGTTCTAAGTAGAACAATCGCAAAGATTTGAAGTTCAACTTTATTTCTTATTAATTTCAAAGATACTTTAGATAGCAATATTTACTAACTCACACTATATCATTGATGTTAATATATTATAAGGAAAATAGAAGCAAACTTCAACGTTACTTACTCTCCATTGCGAGCTTCACTGCATGCTGTTCATTTTCCTGTGCTATATTCAAAAATTCTTCCCATGTAGCAGACAAGTGACCAAACAGAATGTGCATTGCATCACTCACTGTCACAGTTGAAGGCATATCCTTGCTGTTGCGGATTCTCTCTTCCACTTCTTGTAACATTACTATACCATCACTGTCATCGTCCAGGATATGGAAACATTTCTCCAATTCAGGATCATCCAATAACAACCTTGTCGCCGAAGACTGCGATGACTCCTCTTCAGGAGCCTGTTCAGGTTCAGGTGGCTTGTATTTCTCCAATGCTAACCTCTCCTTCTCCTCTGCCTGTGCCTTCAATGTCTCCTTCTCCTTTTTCAGCAATTCCGCCTCCTCATAATTTGCCCTGAGCTTTGCCAACTGCGACCGATACTCCACCTTGATAGTCTTGCCTTTGCTCACCAACTCCAGGCGCAATTTGTTACCCTCGCGCGCCTGCTGCTCCGCTTTCTGTTGCACCAGCTTGGCCTCCTTGGCCAGTATGTGGCATGTGTTTTGGCACTTGTGTTCCGACGGGTAGTCGTACTCGTCGCTCGCGTCGCAACAGTCGCACACACCGTCATTCACCCAAGACGACGGCACGTAATACGGCTGGTGGCCGGCATTCTCGCAGTAGAACACACCGTTACCGCATGCAGACGTGCCGGGTTCGTCGCTGGCGTCCGCACAGTCGCAGTAGTTGTCGTTGACATTCGCGAACGGTATCAGCAGACTGCCGTCCAAGCACTCGAAGTCGCGGTTTGGGTTGTACATCGACCTCATTGACACCGGTACACCCCGCATCGCCGTTGTGCCGGCTACGTGGCTGGTATGCGCCAGAAGCAGACTCCCCGACACGAGTAGCAACGATAACCACGTCGTGTACCTGTCCATTTTCTCTCGATTTCTGTCTGATAACACCATCGCGCTAAGGTTCTTTCTCTCTGTTTCCTCACCTCTCGTCACTCACCGGCGAAATGAACGTGCAAACGAAATTGCGGGACTCTTTCCTTCCAAGTGTCCGAACGCGGACGACACGACACCTCGCACGTTTCCTCAGACATCCGATCACAGTTGGCACAAGCTTACCAACTGTCAAACGGTTCAATCCGTTCATCATGGCTGCACTTTCTGCAGTCGGAGTGAGATGAGTATATTCTCATGTTTGGTTGCGAGAAAGAAGAAAGCGAGAAAATGTGGAAAGAGCATTTGAACATATATATCTTCTGATGAGCCTGGGACCGTATTCTTGATATGTATTCGAACACTAAAAGCTAAAACATCATTGAGTGCTTTCCATTTAATAACAAAAGTCGACACAAGCATTACCTATCTTAGTTACTCATTGAGATTGCATTCCAAAACGTTCTTTCCGAGGAAAATTTTACTTTTAAGTCTATAGTGTATGTAACATGAACTATAGATTTAAGAGTAAAATTTTCCTCGAAAAAGATGTTTTGGAATGCAACCTGAATATGGAACATATGAATATGGAACAAAGACAGAATGATGCTCATGTCGATTTGTGTTATTAAATGGAAAGCACCCATTCTGTCTTTATCGTTCATTACATGCAGAGAGAAGCATAAGAGCGGTCACCAGCCTGATTTTAATGGCCAGAGCTAGGCGCTAGAGATCCTAAGGGGCGCCGCACACGAATTGACATACAGTAACGTAAAAATGGACCAATTACAATCGAGTATTCACAAAAATGGCGACCTTACTGTTGACGATATTCAAAGTGATTGGTCAATTCTTATGGTATGTCTTACGTTACTATTATGTCAATTCGTGTGCAGCGCCCCTTAGAGGCGCAAAAAGTCGATAACAAATGATAAAACGTTGTGCGTGCTGTATAATTACAGGCCTGAGCGCGCGAATTCTACGCGATATTACTGGTAATCTTTGATCGGTTATAATTCAAAAACTATTGTAGCCTCGACATTTTTGTATTAGGATTTTTTACTCTACTTTATCTTCAAAATGCGCTATTAAAATATCTTTCGGTGGTTACAAAATAACCTGTATATACATACATATCCCACACAGCACGTGATATATATAATATCATAGTAATATTTCAATAATATTTCTGCGATATTACAATATTACGGAAATATTACTGTGTTATTATATAATATTGCGTGCTATGTGGGATATATTGTGTGGCAGTCGTGGCACACGTGGTAGTGTGCTTGCTCTCCGTGCTGGAGACCTTCCGAGTTCAAATCCATCTAAGTAAACAAAAATAAAAATCGGTCCCCACCGGTTTTTCCGGCCAACCGATAGTCAGTACAATTCTGACGGCTAGATAGGATTCTCTGTGGGCCAATCACCCGCAAATCCGAAAAGCAATCTGATTCGAGAAACAAATATAGGCCTCGGACATCGGACGAAACAACGACTCTTGGCTATTGAAAAGGTATACGAATTGGCATCTGGAACAAGAACGAACGGTCACCAAAGAAATAGAGAAAATAGGAAAAAGCTGGGCAGAGATAAAAGCGATCGCCTCTAATAGAATAATGGCTCCTGCACACAGGACGTGGTAATGCTTGCTGCGCGGCGGAAGTTCGCGCGATAGCCAATCAATATGTTGTTTTTCCGTAAGAGCTAGAAGGTTATTACGGAAAGCAGCATATTGATTGGCTGTCGTGCGAACTTCCACCGCGCGGCAAGCATTACCGCATTCTGTATGCATTAGATGGAGGAGACTTGTAGACGTCCTATGCTTCACATAGAGAGATAAAAGGAAAAAAAACATATATATTATAATTTATAGAATAGATAGAATAAAGTAAAATAATTGAACATAAATGAACATCAATAAACATCATCTTTTATTGTTGGAGTCCAATTATCACGCAGTACACTCTGTGCCATAAAGCCCAATGTACGGAATCTCTAGGAAATACCTTTATATAACCTTTTGCATATGAATTATTGGGTTAGGCGACAGTTTACCGAAAAGTGGAGAGGATAACGTTAGTGCTAAGGAAAATCTCTACATGATATAATTTAAAGATTCTGTTCTTTGTAACTGCACTGCTAAATTAATTTAGCAGTACACGTTTTTTCACTCTAATCTTTTGCATTAGTTCAGCAGTGCAGTTACAAAAAACAGATCTTTAAATTATATTGTGTAGAAATTTCTCTTAGTACCAACATTATCCCCTCCACTTTTCGGGAAACTGTCGCCTAACCAATTATTGCAAAACGGTGCTGTATATCCATCATTTTGACAAACTGTTCTGTTGGCCAGTCTCTGTTTTAGGGTCTCTAGATTCGACCAATAAGAAGGAACACGCACGCGGCTAGACTCTGGTCTATATTCTGAATACTCTTTTATCTATAAAAGTGCCTCTAAAAGAGGCTTAGAAACCACCTAATTGGCTGAGAGTTACATTTAAGGTACTTTTATCGATAAAAGAGGATTCAGAATATGGGCCTCTATCTTATAAGGACCTAAAATCAGGCTGGTGGTTCTCAGGCTTCTCTCCGTTACATGTCGAAGAAAGATAGAAAGATGTGCTCTCAGCACAAAAGCGCGCAAAACAAACTTAGTTTATGTATGCTTTTCTGATTCTCAAACTGAATTTTATACGAGATACTCATAAAAAAATGGAACTTGATATAGAAAGATTGAACTTAGTGCCTGAAATGCCTCAAAAATACGATACCTGTCGCGATGATGATCTTATAAAATAAATTTCGTATTGCGTCTTGATTGTTAGAATTTCAATTAGGCTATCGCGTATATTTATTTTCTAACAGATTTTTGCTTTAAAATTGTCGATAATTTCTTAAATGTGTGAAATCTTATCATTAGGCAGTTTAGGATATCAAATAGTGAGATTTTTTATTTTTGTTCAATGTTTACATTCCATATCTTTGTATTAATAAGGTTCGAGTTTACACAAGTTTGACCTTAATCTTCGCTAGGGTAGATAAAATCACGTTATCTATATTTGTAGATAAATATTTTTAGAGATAGCGCCCCTCGTCGTGAAAGTTTCATCTGTGAGAATCGGGACCACTTTCACGTTAACGAAACTTTTCGTTCGACTGCTTTTTCTGTTTTTCTGTCTCGCGTACTTAACCTTCATTTCTGTTTTCCTTTCTCGTACTTAACCTCCATCTGTCATTTAAGTGCATGATACGCAGAAGATATGATTGAAAACAAAGACTATTTTCTGAATCCCGTAACTCCTTCCGCGACATAATAACGCGTTTTTATTTCCTGCGTCAGTCAAGGTTGCAATCTATAAGACGTCCTTTCCGAGAAGAATCTTATTGAAAATCTGTATTTTACGTTGTACGATTTCCAGTAAAATTCCAGTCCTTGAAAAGGACGTTTTGAAATGCAACTCAAAGGAACTTTCGCTCGCTTTTTTTCAAACGGGCCTTATCGCTCTTGTTTATTCGTCACAGTCGTGATTTCGGCCGAATCAGCCATTGGTCACAGTGGATCGGGACGATGCATTTTGATCAATCACGGCGGAGCTCCGCTGTGACGCACGCGACGTTACTATCCGTCCAGATAACGTCGAGCGAACATGAAAGTGCCTCTTCACCACTGATGACACGCTTTTGCGTTCTGGCACATTGTAGAAACTTGCGGTGAAACCTTCCGCAGATGCGCACTATACATCAAAGTTTAAAGGACGAGCCTATCGACCAATGAAAGACCTCCTGGGAACGCGGGAGTTCAACATGATCATTCGCTGTTGCGCGTCTTCGTGCGAATAACTCCGCGGAAATCGACTTTCCGCACGACCACGAGAGTGACACAACACGAGAAAATGTAAGTTTTCCGAACGATAGACTTATTTGTGCATCTCTGGCGTTCCGATCGCGCGCTTATTAGCTGATTTCTTTGCTTTCAGTCGCAGCTATCGAGTGCAACTATCAGCAGGCCACAGAATCTTTCGTCTTTTTCTTGAAAACGCAGCATCTCAACAGAGATAGAGACAAAAACGTGCGCGCGCGCGCGCGTGAGTCAAGGTTACCTGATCTCTCCGCGGGAGCTTGCTTAACGTCGAGGAAGTCGCCGTGCTACAAAATACGACGACTCACGCGCCGCCATTGATGCGCGTCGCGTCACCTGCGGTACTCGCGCCGTAGCAGCGCTCAGCTGTGTAGTGACGGTAGTGACTCGGCCACGACGGTGTAGCCAGGTAATCGTGGGGGTATGTGACGGCTGCATCGGACGGCTGATAATCAGGATCGTGTCACCCAGCCGTATCCTTGATTCGTGGCGAGAGGACGCGTAGCGATGCGACGCTGCAAGTAGAAAATGGGCGCCAGAAGCGCGATCGAAGAGCGGACGTCGTACGTCGTCGTACCGTTGCCGTTGCCGCACGGACTTCTGTGATCCGCGCGCGGGGGCCATCGAGACGAAGAGGCGAATGCGACGCGGCGGTGGGCCGCGTGAACGAAGCTGACAGCTCGCCGCCGACGATTTCGAGCAGCAAACATGGGCAACTGCCTGAAGCGCGCCGGCGGCAATCAACAGGACAATACCACTCTGCTGAGCAGCAATCCCGAGCCCGCCGTGTCCACCAGCGGATCCTCGCAGGAGGGCCTCGGACCGCCGATCCCCTACAACGTAATTATACCATAGTCATGCGTTCCTTTATCTCCGTCGTTAAATCGCGTCGTTTCCCCCCCCCCCCCCCCACGA